AGAAAGGATGCTGGGCTGCTTCAGACCTCTGACAATGGATGCACCCCGAGGATTAGATCAGAAAGATGGACCTGCCAGGGGAAAGCGTCGGAGGCTTCTGTTCCTACCATCAGTACCACGGATGCAATGAGAGTGTGGAGCCTGCATGGAAATGCCCCACGGGTTTCACAGTGTCTAAAGCTGATCCTTGGGGACTAATAGAGAAGAAAGATTAACAGACCAGCATCCCTCGTTTCTAATACTGAACTGGCCTTTACTGAGCTCTTCTGTTGCACAGCTGGGATTGGAAAGGAAGCCGCAGGAGCAGAAGTGAATGCAAGCTAACAGAAAGGAAGGCAGCGCGGAGGACGCCGCAGCCCCAGCGCCCTCACAGTCTCAGCAGAGCTGTGGGGATTGTTCTTCACATCTGACGCCATGGGGTTCTGGAAGTCTCTTAAGGGATATATTGGAACTGACTTGTATTATTTGGAAATTGACATAAATTGTCTGTTGTTAAATCTCACTGAGTTAAGCCCAACTGTACCATCTGAACACCGTTTTAGCATTCATCCTGAAATGGCTGGAACATGATTTGTTAGCTCCATAAGGGTAAAGAAATATTAGCTGGGCGCAGTGGCTGATGCCTGTAATTCCAGCGCTCTGGGAGGCCAAAGTGGGAGGACAGAGTGAGGCCAGGAGTTTGAGACCAGCCTGGGCAACATAGTAAGACCCTGTTTCTACAAAAAATTAAACCATTAGCCAGGTGTGGTGGCATGTCCCTGTAGTCCCAGGTGCTCAGGAGGCTGAGCTGGGAGGACTGCTGCAGCCCAGGAGGTTGAGGCTGCAGTGAGCTGTGACTGCGCCACTGCACTCCAGCCTGGATGGTGTCTCCAAAAAGAAAAGAAAAAATAAATATTGAGCAACGACTGACCAAGAGCCCATATGGAAGCAAAGAAAAATAAAACAAGCCTAATTTTTAGTAGTAGTTTCTGCATATGGAAGACAGCAAATGGTTGAAGAGTGCATTTGGGATTGCAGGACTTGGTTAGTGTCAGAGCCCGTCCTAAAAGACGATGATGCAGCAGGACCCTACTTCTCCTTATGACTTCCTTTCTTCCTCCACGCTCACCCTCCGTGCTTCCTTCCTGAAGGAGGCCATTCCATTATTAAAATCAGGAACTGCAAAGAGCTAGCAGGGGGCATCGTTGGCCAGTGAGGACATCTAAGGTCCCAATGGAGAAGATTTTTTTTTTGGTTGGATGGGGTCTTTCCACAGATTCACATACGGTCATCATAACAGCCACAGCATCTGCTGAAGTCTATTTCTAGCATCATGTTGCACATTCCAGACCCCTCATTATTTGCAGTGGTCCACATTCATTCATGAATACTTATATTTACTACTTGTTCTTTCAAATACTTATTGAGTGTGTGCTTAGCTTAAGGGTCAATAGAACACAAATACACCTTATATCAAGGCTCTGATGTCCCAAGGGGCCTGCATTCCAGGAGAGGTGAAAATAATGATAATACACCAAGAGGTATAAATAATGATGCAGGGTCAGACGTGGTGGCTCACACTGTAATCCCAGCACTTTGGGAGGCTGACGCAAGAGGATGGCTTGAGCTCAGGAGTTTGAGACCAGCCTGGGAAACACAGTGAGACCCCATCTCTATACAAATATTTAAAAATTAGTCAATCATGGTGGGTGCACCTGTAGTCCCAGCTACTTGGGAGACTGAGGTGGTGGGAGGATCACTTGAGCCCAGGAGTTCAATACTGCAGTGAGCTATGATTGCACCACTGCACTCCAGCCTGGGCGACACAGTGAGACTTTGTCTCTAAAAATAATAATAATAACAGCAATGCAACAAGAACCTGTTCTGGGTGGAATTGTACCCCGCTTTTCCCCCCTCACCCACTCCCCCCAAAAAGATTGGAGTTCTAACCCCTAGTACTGCAGAATGTGACCTTATATGAAGATCCTCAGGTAATTAAGTTAAATGAGGTTTTCAGGGTAGGCCTAATCGGATCTGACTAGTCTTTTTATGAAGGGGAAATGTGGAAGTGGCAGCAGGCGTGCACAGAGGGAAGCCCGTGTGCAGATGCACGGGGAGAAGACGGCCCTCCGCAAGCCCAGAAGAGAGGCCTCAGAAGAAACCAACCCTGCCCACACCTTGATCTCAGACTTCCGCCCTCCAGAGCCGCGAGATGATAAAGGTTCTGCTGTTTAAGCACCCCAGTTTGTGGTACTTTGTCACAACAGCCCAAGGAAACTAATCGTGTCCAAAGGAGGGACTTCTGGCTGGAGGGGGGAGGGAGGGGAAGGAATCAGAGTGGCTTCCGGGAGGACGTGTCCTCTGAGTTGGCCTTGAAGGACTGGCAGGATTTCTCACTGCAACTGGACATCTGTCCTTCGGCTATCAGCTCCGAAGAGAAGATCTGGAAGGAGGAGAGAGAGAGGAGAGGCACGCCCAGTCTCCCACGTGTGGCACTGGCAGAATAAGGGCATAGCAAGTAGGGCCTCGAGGCTGAGATGACAATGCACAGAAGGAAAGTGGACTTGAATGTGGACAGGCCAGGGGACCCCGGCAAAGGGGCTCTTCAGATATGGGGATGACCCAGCAACAGCACCTGCGACTGACTCCTCTGGTCCGCAGGATCCCCAGGCCTAGTGCCTCCCGTTCTCATGGGGCCCGGGGTGTTTCCAGGGCTGGGGCTGGTTTCACAGCATCCTGTGCCCTGTGCTAGCACTTCTACCTCGGACCGCGGTGTTGAAACCATTAGAGGTGCTGACTCTGTTACATCCTCCTCTCCCTGATCTTCATGTAAAGGTATTTCTGAAATCTCCAGCAAAGGACATGGTACTTGGAAAATGGCGGACTTGGGTTTCCTACACAGCAATGCCGTTTTTAGTAGACATCAGTGACCATGTGGCAGCTCTACCAAATGCTGCTCTGATCTGATAAGCTGCTCAGGGAAACGAAATTGTTCTGTTGCACTGAAAATATGGAAAGGTTTGGAATCTTACCTCGCTGTTTTAAAGTATTAATATTTTTCGATTTTGACTCTTAAAAAAATCTTTGAACGGCCCTGGGAGACAGATTGGGCACGTCATAAACAAAAGACCAAGGCACACGAAAGTCACAGGATTCGGCTAAGACAACAGAACTGGGCGTGGCGAGGCCCTTTAAGGACAGCACCCAGATGTGGCTGTCCGCATTCCCCTGTACCTGATTATTGTTGAATAATGGAGGTAAACTGAGGCCCGAGGTCACCTCCTGCTTTAGGGAGGGCCTTAGGGAAGGGCAGGAGAGGAATCACAGTCCCCGCCCAAACCAGCTGCTTTCTCTGCATGATTTCATCACATCCTCGAAGGCAGCCCCGAGAGGCACCTGCTGTGCCCCTTACCGAGGACGGTCTCCGACATTCAGTTCTTCCTCATCCTCCCATCGCTGGTAAGAGACGCATTCCAGTGGGAGCTGAGGAACGAGACCTGCCTGAGAATGAGACCTTTCCTCATGAACACTAATTTTATCCAGGGGTGACAGGGTCAGGGGGAGATGTTTGCTGTAAATATCCAATGTCTCTCTAACAGATTTCTATCACGTTTGGTATAACCTGTCAACTGCCACCCTCCAGCTGGAGAAGCCAGGAAAGGAAATGCAGGGAATGGCCAGGGAAGGAAACGGAAGCGACAACGGAGAAACCTTTGCATCTGGCGCGGGGCAGCCGCGCTGAGGGAAGGCTGTGGTCAGCAAGTGGCGCTGTTGCTCACCGCAGAAGCCAAGGCTCCAACTCCAGGGCCGCCTCCAGCTCGCAGTCAGGATCTGCAGAGGAAGCATCTGCTCTTAGGCATGTGACTGGGCCAAGATTTTCCCCTAAAGATCCCAGGTGCCAACTCCAGCTCCATCCGGCTCATTTGTTTCCAGCTCAAGGAACCTGAACTCTACGATCGGCTGACCTGGGAACGTTCCCATTGCCCTGATGCAAGCAGTGATAAATTGTGCAGTGACATGAACGTGCCCAAGGGGGGATTCTGCAGACCACAGTTCCTCTTAGCCAGGCTTCCCTCTGCCTGCATGCACACGCTTCTACATTTTATTTATTTATTTATTTATTTTGGCTTCTTTAAAGCTCTTCCCTTTGCCAGTTTTGCCATCTATAGAATGAAGGTGATACCTTTCTTTGCCTCAATTAGTTAATGTCAGGAAAGCTCTCTGCAGATGAAAAGCACTAAATTCTATTGATCAAATATTTAATTAGCCACACTTGTGGATGATTCATAATCATCTATTCAACTTCCTGAATTACCCAGCAGAGAAAATGGCATGATTAGAAATATAATTTTAAATAGTGATTTTCATAGATTTTGTACCTGTCAAGGCTATGGGAGAATTTCTGAATTAGCATACCAGTTCCTCCCCGATTTTCCAAGGGCCTAAAGAAACGAGCTGTGTTCCCACTCAGCCTGTGGCTGTGACCAAAACTGCCCTCCTCCATCCACACCTGGCCTGGGGAGTAACTCAGCCGCAGGGCCTCAGTGGCAGTGTCCAGAGGGTCGGACCACAGTGCCAGGACCTCACCCCCTGGCCCGGGGCTGCCTCTCAGCCCTGTCAGGCCACAGCACCTCTTCTGCCTAGGGCAGTTCCTTCATGTTCTGTCACGTGCCTGCCCCTTTTCTGCCCTGGTAAGGACTCAGTGAGGAGAAACTAGGTCATGTAGGAGACACAGACACTTTCAAAAGCAAGACACCCGAGCAGCTCAGAGTGTAAGGACATTTCCAGGCATTTCCAGTTGCTTCGAAGCACAGTCAGCAACATGGCCTGGTTTGTCTTCAGCTCCGGGTTCCAACCCAACCGAGACTGTAGATTCTCGTTGTGCATGTGGCCTCTGAAAGCAAAATAGGCTTTTTCTTATTCCTTCATTCTGCAAATATTAGTGTAAATGCTATGCTAGATATGCAGGCTAAACTGGTACAGACGATTATCTTTGACTTTCCGGCAAAACATAATTTTCAAAAAGTGAAAAAAAAGCATCATACAGATAGATGGGAAGCACGTGTCATTTATGGTCCTTGGGAAGCAGGCACCAAGACAGAGCTAGATGTGCAAGACATTTATTGGGAGGAACATTTGTTGGGGATAAGAACAGTGGGAGGAAGAGGAGGCAGGGAGGGTTTTGGGAGAGTGCTGCAGGGCTGACCCCTAGGAAAGGAGAGGGGAAGGAGAGAGAATGGGGAGGAAAGAGCCTCTGAGTGAGGGGCAGCTCTGAGAAGGTCTGACCAGCCCCCAGGGAGCCCCAGGACAGAACTTGACCCTTCGAGGAAATAGGCAGGAATAGCCACGTTCTAGGATCCCCTGGTGGGCTCTGTCACTGGTTGGGCCTGACCTTGGCATGAAAGGTATAGTGCAGTGGTCCCCATCTTTTTTGGCACCAGGGACTGGTTTGGTGGAACACAATTTTTCCACAAACAGGGACGAGTTAGGGGGATGGTTTGGGGATGAAATTGTTCCACCTCAGATCATCAGGCATTAGATTATCATAAGGAGTGCGCAATCTAGATCCCTGAAATGTGCAGTTCACAAGAGGGTTTGTACTCCTATGAGAATCTAATGCCATGACTGATCTGACAGGAGGTGGAGCTCAGGTGGTAATCCTGGTTTGCCCGCTGCTCACCTCCTACTGTATGGCCCAGTTCCTAACAGGCCACAGGACAGTCCCCTGGCACCAGCTGGGACTGGGGCATGTGAATATCTTCATATCAACAGGAAACCCAGGGCCCCTGTATAACTCTGAAAAGATGAAAGGGTGCCTTGTACTCCTGATTAAGTCAGATTCATCTGAAATAGAGGAGCTCGGCATTTCTTGGTGGCTGGATAATCTTCTTTCCCTCTGGGCACCATCCTGGGGAAATGGATTATGAAATCATCTATATCTTCTCAATATCTAAGACACTTAAAGGAGAGTTAAGCCGATTTGCCTCACAAAAGGGAAAACCAGGCCAGAGAGTTCTTTTCACCATATTATGCAGGTTCTAAAAATAGCATTGCAAAGACTACAACCTCACTTAAAATTTCAAACAACGTAGGATTAAAACATAGACATCTCCCAGTTCTACATTGTCCATTTCATTCCTTAAGGGCGAATACTATTTGCAGTTTGGGGTGAAACCTTCTAGATATTTGCTCTGTATGCACCACACACATGTGGGTGCAATGATTTCCTCCATTCTGTGATGCCATCAAATGTAAAGCCAGGAGTGAACTGGTGCCACTCCTCGAGGCTACTATCCTCTCCCATTGCATCCTCTCCCATTGTGCCCCGAGTGTAGGCACAGCCCAATCCCTTTCTCCACAGCAAGACTGATCAGTTAAGTGATGGTTTGCATAGTGACATTTTGAGAAATACTGGCAGGAATTACATGACATAACAAGCCAGAAAATGAAACTAGATATTACACATTATTGCTCTGAATTGGACAGCCTAGGTTCATATCCCAGCTTTTCTACTTACTAATGGTCCGACTTTGAGAAAATTACCAAGGTGTCTCAATTTTCTCATTTGTGAAATGAAGATAATAATGGTACCTGCCTTATAGGATTGTTCACAGAATTCTATTACATACATGAGAAGAGCTTATAGCCATGCTGGGCAAGAATGAGAGCTCAGCAAATGTTAGATTTGTTAAACTCTTCAAAAAAGTCATATGTTATACTATAAGGCAGGGGTTGGCAAGCTTTTCTGGTAAAGGATCACATAGTAAATATTTTAGGCTTTGGGAGCCATATAGTCTCTGTCAAACTCTTCAACTCTGCACAGGGAAAACAGCTCCAGACAATACATAAGTGCATGCGTCTGGCATGTTCTAATAAAGCTTTATTTATGGACACTGACATTTGAATTTCATATAATGTTCACAAGTCATGAAATATTCTTTTTCAAAAATTTCTCAACCATTTTATGTAAAAACCATTCTTTACTCCTAGGCCATGCAAAATCAGGCAGTGGGCTGGATTTAGCCTACACGCTATAGTTCACCAACAAATCCCCTCTCCCCACCATCACAGGTGTCCCCACCATCACAGGTGTCCCCACCTGGCCACTTCTGCACCTCTCTTCTCCAGGTCCCCAGCTCCCTATTTTTGCTCATCTTTCCTCTGCAGGAGAAAGCAAAACTCAGTAACCACCTTTCTACTCAAGAAGAGCCCTTTTCCATTAGGACATAGGGAGCATGGTCCCTCTGTCTCAGCATCTACACTCCAGGTTGAGCTCTACCCTCACCTTTGCAAACTAGAGGGACCGGGGAAAATGATCACATGTGTTGTAGGTGGAAGCCTGCCCTCTGCTGGGGACATATATTTTGTATGCATAGCAGTCAACTGCTTGAGTCCACCAACTTCTTTAACTTGTCCTTTGGTAATTGACATGGTTTGGATGTGTGTCTCTGCCCAAATCTCATGTTGAATTGTAATCCCCCATATTGGAGGTGGGGCCTGGTGGGAGATGACTGGATTGTAGGGGTGGATTTCTCATGAGTGGTTTAGCATCGTCCTCTTGGTGCTATCCTTGCAATAGTGAGTGACTTCTTGCAAGATCTGGCTATTTGAAATCATGGCACCTCTTTCTCTCTCTCTCCTGTTCCCACCATGTGAGATACCTGCTCCCCTTCACCTTCTACCACAATTGTAAGCTTCATGAGGCCGCCCCAGAAGCAGATGCCTGTGTTATGCTTCCTGTAAAGCCTGCAGAACTATAAACCAAATACTTTTTTCTTAATAAATTATCCAGTCTCAGATATTTCTTTATAGCAATGCATAAACAGCCTAATACAGTAATGAGTGTTTCTATTATGTTGTTTCCAGGTTCCAGGTTTGCACTGTTACAAAGAATGCTGCATTTTCTCATAAAATCCTCAACTCTATGAAACGGGAACAATTTAATCCCATTTTATAGATGAAGGAATGGAGGCACAGAAAAATGAAGTAATTTGGCTAATCTCACACATGGTTATAATGGTTAAGGGGTCTGTGATGGTTAATACTGAGTGTCAACTTGACTGGATACAAAGTATTGATCCTGGGTGTGTCTGTGAGGGTGCTCCCAAAGGAGATTAACATTTGAGTCAGTGGGCTGGGAAAGGCAGACCTATCCTTAATCTGGGTGGGTACCATCTAATCAGCTGCCAGTGTGGCCAGAATATAAGCAGGCAGAAAATTGTAAAAACAGAGACTAGCCTAGCCTCTCAGCCTACATCTTCCTCCCACGCGAGATGCTTCCTGCCTTCAAACACAGGACTCCGAATTCTTCAGTTTTGGAACTTGGACTGGCTCTCCTTGCTCTTCAGCCTGCAGATGGCCTATTGCGGGACCTGTGATCATGTGAGTTAATACTTAGTAAACTATACATATATATTCCATTAGTTCTGTCTCTCTAGAGAACTCTGACTAATACAGGGTCCCTGGAGAATCTCTGACCTGCCCCACAAGTGTTTCTACATTAGACACTTTTATGCAGATGAGGGAATCTGCCCAGGACCTTGTCTGAGCCAGCCCACATGTGCACTGGGGGAAGTGGGGGTTGCCACAGGCAGTGGGAGGAACCTGGCCTCTTCAGTTCCTGTGTGGTGGCCTGGGATTCAATCTGTGAGATGGGGGGCCCATTAGCAGGACTCCATTTCACTTTGCTGATTTTTTTTTTTTTCTCTTTTCACCCAATAAAATCCTATTCTACTCACCCTT